TATCTAGAAGATGATGATAACTTCCACTTTAAAGATGTACTTAGGTGCTTTTGAAAGAAGTAGACTTTTTTTTTTAACCTTGAAAGCTCTTTTAATTTATATTTTTACCTGCTGACACTATATGAAAGCATTTCACCTGATAATAAATTTGGAAGAGTTACAGTAAGCCAAGAGTTATTTGAAATTCATTGCCTAAGCAACTATTGCTTTTTGAGAACATTTAATGCTAAGTGTCCCAGAGCTACCCTACAGAAATCCCCAAAACCATAAATAAAATAATAAATGTAGAAATCTTTTTGTTCAAGGAGGCCACATGTTGGCTTAAAAAAACTGTTTAAATCCTCTTTAGCCAAATAGCCACTAATAAATGTTTGGGTTGAATAATTTTATTGGGGGAGGTGAACATTTGTAAAAACTTTTAAAACAGACATTTTAAATGTAAATGGCAATAACAATTTTTATTAAAAACATTTTATAAGTGTCTACCAAAAATATACTGGAATTCCTTTTTAAATTTATTTTACAAGTTAAAGATATTACAATATCTTTATTATTTTTCCATTTGGGATTAAAGTCATATTTTATATAGAAAAGTTTTTATGTTGTCTTTCTATAACAAAAATGGAATTTCTGAATATGTTCAAACTCATATCACTCTCTACTGTCATTTTCATGGACACCAGTATCCTCCACTGATTATCTTCAGGGCTGTACCAATGCTAAAACAAGAATTCAATCTCAGGATTCTGGGTTCTCTAGTTGAGCCAAAGGACCAAGTGTGACTTGGTCACACTTTATTTATAATGTAGACTACTCACTAGAATTTGGAAAACAGTTCAAATTCTACCACCAGTCTAGAATGTATAACAGGTACATTTTTATGAATCATCATGAAGCCACTTGAATTGGATTTAACAGAGTTATTCAATCCACTTTAATTTGGAATCATAAAAGAAGATTTTGCAAAGAAGGGCCTTTCACGGCATGGCATTTCTCTCTGAGGATACTTATGCGTTTACAGGGGTTAATTTCTTGGCCCTGAAGCACTGAGAGATGTAGCTATGTGGTGCTCTTTTTTCTAGGATATGGAGCTTGTTTTCCAGAGGGATCAAAAAAGCACATATACAAAAACCTTACCAATAAATTATCTGTTGCTTTTTCCAAGACTACATCTAAACAAAAAGGGGTTTCTATTGTTTCAAACACTAATGCAATTCCTGTAGCACTACCTTTGACACAACAATTTTGTGAAAAATAACTTCACATTCCCCCATATTAAAGAAAAACAAAACAGAAATTACTATATGCTGAGCTTAAAGATTACCTGTTACAAGTTAAATTCGTTTACAGACACCATATACTCGAAATGGTATGTTTTCACTTAAACAGACAAAATTCAAGGAAAACTACTTCCTTAAGGAAAAACCTAAGAGCATCTGAACAAATTAGCTCTTTCTAACTATACATGCTGAAAAAAATGTTCATAAAAGGGAGCAGTGAATCAGCAATATAATTTCCAATACTTATTACATAAGTTTTACATTGTAACATATGGAATATGACCACAAAAGAATAGAAGGAGTGAAAACAAAACATCATTAAATATATTTTCTTTTATAATGGTAAAGCAAATGAATCCCAAAGCACTTTAAAATACTGGGTTTTAGGCCTTTTCAAGGTCTTCATAAGAAAGGTTATCAAACTTCAAACTGTAGTCCCACAAACTTCTCAATCTTGTTTAAAGGTTAATATACAGAGTCAATACTTTTTAAAAAAATCCTCTATAAATGGAACTGTCATGTTTATAGATAAATATAATTTTGATAAACATTACATTAAAACTTCAAATTTTTCTGTTATAAATTTAACTCCCTATATTTTCAAAGTTGGATGAATCTTTCCAGATAATAGATTCACTGAATGAAAAGAGTTATCTCTCAGGCATTTTGCATATTGACATCTGTATCAATGCCTAAAACTAAAATATGGCTAATTTTAAAATTTTAATTTTAAAAACTCTTAATTTATATGCATTTTAATAGAACATTTCTGAGATGATATTAAAAAATGGAATTTGGGCCAAAATGTTTTCCCAATATTTTGAAGAAGTTCTATTCTAGCTCAACTAACAACTGTTCTAGCTCTGATATTTATCTTTAATTTAGCTCCACTATCTCGCATTTAAAACAACTAGTTAGGGGCAACTGGGTGGCTCAGTTGGTTAAGTGTCTGCCTTTGGCTCAGGTCATGATCCTGGAGTCCTGGATGAGCCCCACATGGGGTTCCCTGCTCAGTGGGGAGTCTGCTTCTCCTTCTCCCTCTGCCCCTTTCCCTGCTCCGTGCCTCTCTCTAATACTCATTCACTCTCTCTCTCAAATACATAAATAAAATATTTTAGGGGCACCTGGGTGGCTCAGTGGGTTAAGTCTCTGCCTTCCACTCAGGTCATGATATCAGGGTCCTGGGATTGAGCCCCGCATTGGGCTCTCTGCTCAGCAGGGAGCCTGCTACCACCCCGCCACTGCCTGCCTCTCTGCACACTTGTGATCTCTCTGTCAAATAAATAAATAAAATCTTTAAAAAATATTTTAAAAAATTAAACAACTAAACTTTGTCTTCAACTTTCTTTGACAAAAGACATCAGTCACTATCAGAAGAATAGCTCTGAATTTACAAGTTACAAATACTCTGGAACTTTGATAATTATATGAAGACATTTGTGAAATGCAAGAATATTTTGGTTTTAAAAATATGTACCTATAACTGACACCAACCGTGTCCTACTGATATGAATGTTTGAACTATATAGAAAGATTTTCTTTTTTGGTTTTGGTTAGGTTTCTGAGAGGAAAATAAAATTAAAAAATTCCCAAACTAAGACTTGGTCTTGAATTTGTATAAAATAAAATAAGAAAAGACATCATTTCTCTCTTGTAATGAGATGACATATGTTGTGGAGTTGAACTTAACTAACATTTATGAACACATTTAGGCCAAGAAGCTAGCACTCATTTTTTATAGAAAAACTTTTCCATTTATTATTCCTAACAAACAGAATGAAATAATACTGTCTTAGGACAACTAGCCTAATCCTGGAGAGACACTCAATGCTAAAGATAAATATTTTTCTGTTTGGTTAGCAGCAAAGGATAGCCTAGCTTGGTGATGGTATCTACAGAAAGAATACCACAAGAAATAAAGCTATAGCTTTCTCTTTAGTATACCATTTCCATTCAACAGGTTTGGATTCTCTGTCTGGAAAAAAAAAATCTTCTATGCCAATTCCGAGTTCTTCCACTACAATGAAAACACATACTTGAAATGTTAGGAGGAAGCTGGTAGCTTTCAGACCATTCTTCCAGCAGGACTTAAAGTTTTATGAGAACACCATAAAGAATTTGCTTTTTAGGGAAAAAGGTTCAAATTTTCAGTTGGACCAAAGGAACCTAAGGGAGCACATGAGGGAGCATCCTCAGAATTCTGCTATTCAGCATAAAATGCTATGGAAATACTGAACCTTTAACCATTACCCATAATTACTACAGCCCTTTTATTCTTAAATACTTTTTTATTTTTTGGAATTGTTTTTTGGTACTACTGATATAGCATATTCTCCTTCAGTTTTATATGCAAGAACTTTCACTAAGTGAAACCTAAAGATTGTGCTTTACTGCAGAAAGATCAATCATTTTTTAGCCAGTACATTCATTATGTTAATAGATTACTGAATTTTCTCTTTAATATAGTATTTATAAATTCTTTATTTATCCCAAGCAAGGTGAATCCATGTTTAAAAGCCTCAGAGTTGTATGCTGGATAATTATGTGCATGTGTATATACACATAAATATATTTTAAATATAATTCTTTAAAAATATACTGATGGTCAGTGGTGTGGTGGTATAAAACATCTTGGAAATATTGACTATTTGAAAATGCTATATTTTATGTACTTCTTGTGTCCAGTACTGTAATGCAGAGAAGAGACATTAAGCACAGTTTATAAGTGAAAAATTCTCAGAATATGCCTTTTGGATCATGTTGTGATGAAAAAAGTCAGGATGGTCAATGAATACTGAGATGGAAACAAAAAATCAAAAGCGAGTTAAAATGATGACGTTTTCTGATGGTCTTATCTACATCCATTCAGGACAGTTCCCCTTCTGTCATCCCAGTTAATATTGGTCATGAATTATTTTCTTCATTATGGGAAGAAAATATTGTTTTAATTCCACTAGTAGACTTGCTAGCAACATATTTGATGTAGTGTGTAAATATTCTGATAACCTGATGAACATATGCAATTGTTGTATAAATTATAGTATTATGCAAAAACTCACATGAGAAGGCACTTGAGTGGCAGGTTATAAACTGATGTTTTGTAAGACCAAAATGAAAAAAAAAAGCTTCATTTAGCAATAATGAAAATATTTTCACTTACTAACACTGAATGTCTCCAAATATACTAAGATGTTACACAAATCATAAAAAAAATGGTAAATAACATGCATGGCTAAAAACAAAAAAAAACACTACCTTTTTTGTTTTTTGTTTGTTTGTTTCTTTTTGTTTTTTTGCTATTTGCCATTTAGAGTCTCTAACAGATGACAGAAAATTTTCACATTCAGAGTTGGTCATTTCCATTCTTTTCAACTTAGTGGGAAAAATGAAGAAACCTATAAAACTGATTGCAGTATTGGTTTTACAGCTGGATGGTATTATTCTTCAGATCAAAAAAATAACTAACTTATTCAATAGTTGACTAATTACTAATGTCCAGTGTTCTTCAGAACCAGTTTTTTCAATGTTCCTTCAAACCATAGTAAGATTTTGTATCTAACCCAATTTAATTGGAAAACAAATTAAGTGCTTGTAACGTCCAGAGTTTTATCTCTTCTGCATCTGTTGCCTTTGAAACTAGGTATTTTTGTTAAGTACTGAAAATTCACTGATGGTAATATTCACTAGAAAAAAATGAAGTGAATTAAACAAAGGGATTAAACACCAAAGTGGTGGCACTAGTATTTACTGTATCTTTAGACCTTAATACATGTGTCTGTTCTATTATATTTTAATCAAAGATGCAGGCATCTGTAATGTATTTGTCAGAGCAAATTTGAAAGTCTTACTTAAGACTTAGTGAGATTTGAAAATCATTTTAAGTGGTCCACAACATTTGAAAGTTATAATAGCTAATCAATAACACTTGAAAATAATTTAGAGTGGCCAGTTCATAGATGATATTCTATTTACTATAATGGTTTAAGCTATAATTGATGGAAAATAGTTGGTAACTGCACAAAAATAAAAATAGATCTTAAGTTTTATGGATTTTGGAAACTTGCTTTATGAGGTGTTTAATTAAAGCAAAGTTTCTGTTGTATGTGTGTTTGTTTTTAAACCATACCATTTGGCACATGAAAGTGCAGTGGGTGGTATGGCTGAAAGAAAATAGGTGGTGGTCCAGATGTTACATAATAAGTAGGATACCCTCCCTCAGCAGCTAAGTATGGAGCAGGCTGATAAAAACAAGTTACATTATCTGTATTGGGTAGTATATTCTGTTCTCCAAGTACTTTTAGAGCCATAAGGGTGATCATATTGAGTGTCTGCCTTCTTTCATGACCCATGAGACAAACAGTGCTTTCATTTACAACTCCACGCAAGGTCATAAGGTAGTCATATTTGCTCTTTTCTTCACCTATGAAATGGTTACGGAGGTACGATTCAATCTTCTTTTGTTGTTCTGCTACATCAGGAAAATCAATGAAGAATCTAGAACACATATAACGTTCTAGTGTCTTGATTTCTGCTTCACAAGCTGGCTTAAAGTCACGAACCAGCAAGTTGCTGTACTTCAGAAGGCCACCACCTCTAATCTCTTCAGGTTTTCTAGTAGATATAAGCTTGTATTGCAAATGTGTCATTGCTTCTTGGAAGTCTCCATACATGCTTTCAGCTACCACAACAGGATAGGATTCTTTGGTTAGTTTGGCATTTTTGTCACTGTAGAATTCTAACATGGGATCCAAAACAATTTGAAAGGAATCAACACTAAATTCAAATTGTGTTTGAATTTATATATGAATATATATATGGGGTACATATGAAACCATATTTCATATGTACCCCATATATATATATATATGGGGTACATATGAAACCATATTTCACATATACTACAGCTCAAATTTTAAAGACAATTACTAATGGATACTACATATCCATTAGGGTATGAATTCCTTGAATTTGAGGATAAGGATGGTACCCAATTCATCACCTCTTCTATGTGTCCAGTAACCTTTTAAGAAATGTTGGTTAAAGGAAATAATAATTGGGAGAAAAACCATGAGAAACTCTAAACTTTAGGAAACAAAATGAAGGTAGCTGTATGGGAGGTTGGTGGGAGATGGGGTAATTGGGTGATGGGCTTTAAGTCGGGAAAGTGATGCGATGAGCACTGTTATACAAAACTGATAAATTATTGAATACTACATCTGAAACTAGTGATGTATTATAAGTTGGATAATGGAATTTTTAAATTTATTTTTATTTTTTAAAAATATTTGACAGACAGAGATCACAAGTAGGCAGAAAGGTAGGCAGAGAGAGAGAGTGGGGGGGGGGGAAGCAGGCTCCCTGCTGAGCAGAGCGCCCAATCTGGGGCTCAGTCCCAGGACCCTGAGATCATGACCTGAACTGAAGGCAGAGACTCAACACACTGAGCCACCCAGGTGCCCTGGAAAATTTTTTAAAAAGAAAGAAATTTTGGTTGAAGGAAATAATAATTAGCACGCATTTCATGAAGCACTGTGTATTATATGCAAACAACCAATCATGGAATACTAATCAAAAACTAATGATGTACTATATGGTGACTAACATAACATAATAAAAAATAAAATAAATAAAAAATAAAAAAATAGAAAGATGTAAAAAAAAAGTGAAAAATACATGAGACTACTCCTTTTGTCTCCAAAATGAGAGCAAGGATATACAAAACCTTAAGATTCCTGAGCTTTAAAAAAGGTTTTCTGCAAATGTGCAATGTGATATGCTCAGAAAATTTTACGGTTTGGGGTGTTAAGAAATTAAAGTTATAAATACTGTAAATGCAATTGTTAAAGATCATACTATTATTATGTAATTAGGTACAATTACAACTACTACGCAGATCTTCAAATACTCTATTAAGCTGTCTAAGCAAATAAAACTAGAAAAATTAAAAAAAAAGTGATAGTTATGGATGTAGCTTTGGGTTTAAGTTTTCTTCCCTGAATTCCAGAAATAAAAATGATATATATGAAGTTTAAGGCAGATTTGTGTAGGCAGTATTCATATTTTGCCTATGTAAAGAGCTATTGGTACAGAAACTTAATATTTAGAATTTAGTGTTGTATTATTTCCCTAGTGGAACTAGAGCAAATATCATCATCTTATTTGACATCTGTAGAATCAACTTTTTTTCTTTTTTCAATTTATTTGTTTGCTTTTTTGTTTATTTAATTCCAGTATAACTAACATACAGTGTTACATTACTTTCAGTTGTACAATATACTGATTTGACTATTCTGTACATTATTCAGTGCTCAGTGTACTCTAAATCCTCTTCACCTATTTCGTCCATTCCCCCACCCACTTCCCCTCAAATAATAAGAAGTTTGTTCTCTGTATTTTAGGGGGTTTTTTTGGTCTTTTTTCTTTGTTCATTTGTTTCTTAAATTTCGCTTATGAGTGAAATCACATGGTATTTGTCTTTCTTATACTGACTTATTTTGAATTGACTTTGACAGTCCAAGCATTTTGCAAAAGGCCAATTAAGCAATGGCCAATCTATGTCAGTGGGACGATAAGACTAAACATATTCTGTTTCTGTATATGAAATCTCCATTTATGTGAATAAAAAAGTACTTATTTTTATTATGGGATGAAATGGCTCACATAAGGTATTCTTTGTTTCATTTTAAGACACATTAATTACTAATGTTCAGAAAATTTTATTAGGAATGTCAATATCCAAATCAAACCTTAAAGATAAATAGGCTGAATTGACTATACACCAGGTTGTTGGATTTTGTTTATTCATCCATCAATAGAAATGGTTTGTATATTGACTTTAGGACATTGGAAAAAATAAAGTGTTACATGAAGAACAGAGTATGCAGTAAGAACTGGCAGGCCTATTTCCTAAGTTCTCTTTCTGGAAATATCACTGAATTGTTTTAAGCTAACAAAATGTGTTACCCTCAAATTTTCAATCTGGAAAAATAATAATTAATAACGTTGGCTGGTTTCATGTAAAGGCCTAAGCAAGGTCGATCATTTACCTAATATTTTAGAAATATCACATGTAAACTATACAACTTTAATTGATATAGAAAACTTGCCCAAATTCCTTTTTAATATGTAATTTCTTTTGCAACTGGCAATTTTTCCTTTTCTTATGGCAGATATCCATTGTCAATATTATTTAAAAGTTTAAAATTCAATGCTCCAATCCCAGGCCTACAGTCTCCCTGTAAACCTATACCTAAAATTATCAATGATCTGAAAATAAAGATTGTCTACATTGGTATACTGACATTAATATTACCACATTCTTTTCCATACAGAAGGATATTTATGTACAATATGTGTACATAATGTACAAGGATATTTATGTACAAATAAAACCCTCCAAAGTCATAAATAAGTTAAGTAATTGTCAAAATGTAGGAGTCCTTGGTCAAAAAGTTTGCTTTAAGTCAATAAATAGGAAGTCTTACTTTATATCTTAAATTTGCTCATAGATATAAAAGGAGGGAAGGAAGGGTCAGAATTTTGTTTCCCAGAAAAAAATCATACTATGATCTTGCAAAGACAAGAAAGAGGTTGTCCAAATTTTAACTTCACTTTACACAAGGGAAGTGATGTAGGGAAATTGATCATCACTGAACAAATATTTGGTTGCTGCTTGATCACCCATGTTAATGACACCCCAAATTTCTGGTTTTCAGAATTATCTAGAGAGCTTAAAAAATACACATATAGAATATTTTAGGCCTGGTATTTCTTGTTAAAAAAGTAACAGTGACACCAACTTGCTAAAATGTGGTAAAACTCTGTCTTTGGTTGAGCAATATATTACCTAAATATCAAAATCATAGTTTTAATAACCAGTTATTTTTTTCACCTTTCTGTATCCACAGCTACATAAACTTATTTTTTAAATCAAGACCATTTGGAGAGCACCTAGTTGGCTTAGTCAGTAGAGCATCTCTGCTGTCAGGGTCTTGAGTTCAAGACCCATATTGGGCTTTGAACCTACTTTAAAAAAATAAAAAACATAAATCAAGCCTATTTTTCTATTGAATTAACATTATTACTGAGGAATTTCAAGCTACCATCTTACCTACCATCTCTACAGCTATGTGTACATGAAATGCAAATTAGAATTTTTAAAAATAGCCTTAGAAAAAAAGCATAGTTATGAAAATAAATGCTTTTTAAATCTTTTTTTAAGATTTTATTTATTTATGTTTGACACAGAGCAAGCTTAAATAGGGAGAGCAGCAGGCAGGAGGAGAGGGAGAAGCTCGCTCCCTGCTGAACAGGGAGACAGATGTGGGGCTTGATCCCAGCACTGTGGGATCATGACCTGAGCTGAAGGCAGACACTTAATGACTGAGCCACCCAGGCCCCCCGAAAATAAATTTGTGATACACACACACATATAGACATATAGACATACATGAGCATATAAAATATTATGAAATATATGTCACAATGGAATAAATATAAATGATTTATATGGATCTGGAATCTGTATACACCTCTATCAATGCTCATCTCTATTAACATGGATAATTAAGATCTCAAAGCAATGTTATGCTTCTCTGGCACATCTACTATTTTCACATAATGCACAATATCAATATAATGTAATCACAGATTTCACATATGACATTAAAATAATTAGACTTATCTTCATGTGTGGGTTATGGCTCAGCAGTTAACTGTCATATTTCATATAGCAGAGTCAAATACTTATATATAAATAACAAAAACATTACACAACTTGGAAAATTGAATTGCTGAACCAAAGAGAATGGCTAAAAATAAACTTCAGATGACTATCACATAAAAAGTGGGAAAACACTAACAAAACCATTCACATTGTTTACATTTGCCATGGGTAGAGTCTAGTTCTTAGTTACTCAAAGTGTGTTTATTGAAAGTGAAATATAAAGCTATATTTTCACAGACTAAAAGCTCAAGTTCAAGGCAGAAATCCTTCAATAGTGTGTCACACAAACCCAAATGGAAGTACAAAATCTGAAATTTTCTTAATTATTCTTCTCCAAATGTGTAAATCAATAGTATTTGGCAGAGCATATAAATCTTGTTCTGACTCTCTGACTTCTTCCAAATTATTCATCCTTGAAGCTATCACTTTTCCCATCTAGCTTAACCAATACTAGTGTGCCCATAAGGTATCTAGCTATAGTAAACACAGAAAGTAGTTTCCATTATTCAGCTAGTTAAATTCATTGGAATGAAAGGCAAGATGTGTGAGTTGGCAAGACTTCACAAAGAACTGCAAATAGACACTTGTATAATTGTTCTCCCTATCACCACCCTATACATCCTATAGTCCTTTTGACTATAGGAACAAAAGGAAAATGTAGTCACTCTTTTTGTATTTATATTAATATTAGAATAATATTTTCAACAAGAATGAAAAAAGGTTTAAGGCTTACATTGGGAGAATTACTTTGAGAATGCAATACAGTTGGATTAATATGATGATTCAGTGGATCCTTTAATAAAGATAGTGATTTTCATTTTATCACTGAATAAAATAATGAATCAATCAGGAAAACTGCAGGAAGAAAAAATGCAACAATGGAGTTCTTTTATAAATGTTATACACAGGTTAATGTGATCACTGGTCAGTGGTCCTACAAATTACATACACATAGACATATTTATACAGAGAGATAAAGAGACATAAAGACTGACCGAAGAAATGATTCTAGCATACATCAGAATTACATGGAGGGCCTATAAACACATAAATTCCTGG